TTTGAATATGGGTGACCACATTTCATAGTTTTATCTTTAGTTTCTAGATATGGTTTGAAATTCTTAGTTTATATCCATTCTTCATCAGAATTAGTTACTGTTATTGTTTATCATCTGAAGTAGATTTGTTCGACAAATATTTTTATGATTATGGAATGCCAAATTATAGTGAACGAGAATACAAATAAGGACAATCGAATGCATTTGAATACAAATGAGTAACATCTGAGAAATATATACAGTAAATATTTCATTTTGTAAATTATCAGTCAATCGTCTCAGACTTCATTGTTCTTTTAATTTCACACTAATCATTCTGTATTATTGTTCTCTTTTCTTTGATCTTTTTAATCTTCTACCACATTAGATATTTCAATTTCGATTGATGGATGATACATACTACTTATATTTGTCGATATTAGTAGCACACACCATACCATAATCAATCAATCCTATCGATTTCTTTCTTTAATCTCTTTTTTTCTTTCTTGCATCTAATATTATGTTTTTTAAAGCTTTTTCTTTAAAAAAAACAATAATTTTATTCCTATTTTTACAATTAATTGACACATGTCCGTCATATAATTAGGCAATGATCAGTGTACATTTTGGTTTCTAAGATAACAACACAACTATATATATAGACTTAAGGGGGGGATATTACATTTAACCGCTATACAATGTAATTATCTTTTATGTGTATAAATTTCATTTTATAGAAGTTTCCAGAAGGAAATCAACACATTACTATTATTATTATTAGTAGTAGTATTGTTATGGTAATTTCCTGTTATATTTCAAGTTTATATAAAAAGGGTAATGTACAATTATCATTGAAATATGAATATAAATAAAATAAAAAAAGTTTTATATTTGAAACGAATATTTGATAGAATAGACAATAAAGTCTATTTTGATGGAGTTTTGTTCTCTAAGCTGGATGGTTTGATCGTGGAGCTTTAATCGTTCTTCTGAATGACATTATCAGCACAAACTTCAGATCTTCTCCACAATAAAGTCTATTCTATGATAAAAATCATTGTAACCATTATAAAGTAGACAAAATCTATATTTGATAAATAAAGAAGGAATGAATCAAGTGAAGAAATTTTTTTAAAAATTCGTTTTTCATCACACCTTTACACTAATAAATATCGATATGATTTACAATAATGAAATAATACTCATTGAGTAGATACGTTACGTAATAATTAATAAAATAAAATATCGATTATAAATTAACATTGAGTATAGTTGAAATCAGAAGTCAATTGAAGTTAGACCACCACAGAAAACTAAGAGAACTACTGCAACCACCATCAAGAAGGTACAAGTATTTATAAATAATTGTCTAAGCAAGATACTCAACATCCATTGACCGGATACCATCAGTAACAGCCTTCTCTAGGAGAGAACAAACCATCTTCCAACTGAAGAGGGAATTAGGAAACAACGATGGAAATGGATAGGACATACATTACTCAAATCATCAAACTACATCACGAGACAAGCCTTAACATGGAATCCTGAAGGAGAGCGGAAAGCAGGAAGGCCAAAGAACACATTAGGTCGGGAAATAGAAGCAGATATGAAAAGGATGAATAACAACTGGAAGGGGCAGGGAAGGATTGTTTGGGACAGTGTTGGATGGAGAATGCTGGTGATTGGCCTATGCTTCTTCACAAGGAGTAACAGGAGTAAGTAAGTAACAGAATTTTCAACACCAATTGTATAATATTGCAACAAATTTCTATTAAACAGATATTTAAAATCTAACCATTTAAAAGCTCATTTTGATGAATGATTTCTTATAGTCCGTATCTGATATCCATCTTCAATCACAAAAGTTTCCTATCAATTTAACTGTTACAACTATTTTCCCATCCATTAGAATAAATGATATCCGAGATTCAGTATATTCCTCTTTCGTTTTTCTTTTATTCTCAAAAAATAGATGTGGAAGAAAATTGGTCAATGCTTGTAGTGTTTTTACTTGTATTTTCCACTATTCAGTATCAAAGTCATTTGTAATCTTTTTAAAATAGCTCATGAAAAATTCATAATTATTCAGTTTAGAAAACCTGGAAGCACTGGATGGCCAACTCGTCCTGTCGTGGGACTCTTCAGCAGTAAGCATCCATGATCCCACTAGCGGGAATCAAACCCATGGCGTTCGGTTTCACGCGCGAATGCTTAACCTCTAGACCACTGAGCCAATCAATGTCTAACCTCAACCAATCCACAAAATTGCGCGACCATCTTCCATTTTACAGAGGTAGATACCTATCTCTACCCGACATTGATTAACTCCACTGATCACGGCTTCTCACTAGAACTCCGAGAATTCCCTCACGAAACTAATCACTAGTGAGCACATGGTAGTAATCAGTACAGGGTTGTGAGGGCCATGGGTTCGAATCCCGTGAGCAGGATCGTGGATGTGCACTGCTGAGGAGTCCTATATCGACCGGTTCATGATCTTAATCAAAAACTTAATAATCTCCACAACCCTATATTGATAAGAAAGTTATTTGATGTTGACTGGAGTCATAAATAGACAGGTTGTTGATAATATAACTTGAAAAAGCATCTAGAAATTTCATTAACTTAAAATATGCTTACAGTGATACATATAAATTCCATTCAAAACAGCAAATACACTGTATAATATTTACTATAAACAGAAATTAGGAAAAATATTTAATGACTGTACATCAGAAGAACGATTACTGATACAACTTCATCAAAAAATGCTTATTGAACTTATTAGCAACCAAGAAGTCGGAAATGGAAACCAAAATCTTGATTGCCGTACTGTAGTAAACAGAACACGGGTGGATACAATCGAATGTATTTAGCACAAAATCACAGGACTTGTTAATAAAATCTAACAATCATAAAGTAATTGCTTAATTTGCGAAATGTCCGCCAGTTGTCTCATAATGACTCAGACTTCATTGTTCTTGCATTTTCATACAAATTGCATTCTGTTTCCATTCTTTACTGTTCGATCCTCTTATCTCTCTGCTGCCAGACTTTCTGTTCATGGCTAACATCATATACTACTTATGTCAATATAAGTAGCACACACCACAGTATCATATATAATCACTATATCGGAAACCAAATTCATGTAATTGAAATCATTAGGAATAGTTATGGCGCACACGATAGTAAGGTCGCTTCAGTCGATTTTATTCAAAACGACAGACCTAATCATTAAAAGAAAATTTGAATGTTATCCACCAAATAAACTGCTTCAACAAAGAAAGACATTACTTTGGACAAAGTAGCCGTATCTTCGTTTGTATGAACATCATTTAGTTGTCTAAATCTACGAAAGATCTTAGCTCATGTCATTTCATACAGACAATTGTGAACACATATCTGACAGATAAAACATCGAAATTTTACTAGCCATATAATGAAGATCAGAGAATTTCCAGAAGCTTGACACTTTGGTCAGTCATCAATCAGTAAACAAATAAAAATAAAACTGATTTATCTATCACTTGGAAAAATCATAACTATAATTCCAAGTATCGGATCAGTAAAAAGGACAAAAAACATTTGTGGATAATGATAGAACAAGTGTTGAAAACAGCGAATAAAATTTACTATTAATAGAAGAGGCTGTTAAGCACTCGTGGAGAAGTCCATCTAACTCACTTCTATCTGAAATTTGTGCTGATATTGTCATTAAGAAAAAATAATCAAAACTTCGCAATTAAATCATTCAGCTCAGAGAACAAAACTATACCGAAATTGAATACTTAATTCTAACAATCCATCTATTGTACAAGTTTCAGGTTCGAACCTTATTTCAGTTGTGTTAGTTTCAGTAGCCCGATAATACCACTTTCTGTCAAACTTAAAGTGTAACTTAAAATTAAGTACATTTGTACTAGTTAAACAAGTTATAATATTCATTATTATATATTACCTCTACCCTACTTGAAGTTATCAGAAGATAGTCAATATCATACAGAATTCCTATGATGGGTTAAACTGCAAAATCATGCATGGAGGACAGTTGGCAAACTCGTTTGAAGTAAAGATCGATGTCAGGCAAGGTTGCTTACTCTCACCCTTTCTTTTTCTCCTGGTGATCGACTGGATCATTAAGACGTCAACATCTGAAGGGAAGCATAGGATACAGTGGACATCTATGATGCAGTTGGACGATCTAGACTTCACAGATGATCTGGCTCTTCTACCACACATGCAACAACAAATGCAGGAGATGACCAGTGTAGTAGAAGCCTCGGCAGCAGTACGTCTCAATATACACATAGGGAAAAGCAAGATTCTTCGACACAACACAGCATGCACCAATCCAATCACAATTGACGGAGAAGATTTGGAGGATGTAAAAACCTTTACATATTTGGGCAGCATCATTGATGAACACGGTGGATCTGATTCAGTTGTGATGGCACAGATCGGCAATGCAAGAGCAGCATATTTACAACTGAAGAACATCTGCAACTCAAAACAACTACCAACCAACACCAAGGTCATGATTTTCAATACAAATGTCAAGACAGTTCTATTGTATGGGGCGGAAACCTGGAGAACTACGAAAGCCATCATCCACAAGATACAAGTGTTTATTGACAGTTGTCTGTGCAAAATACTTCGGATTTGTTGACCAGATACTGCCAGCAACAACCTACTATGGGAGAGAACAAATCAGATCTCAGCAGAAGAAAAAATTAGGAGGAAGTTCTGGAAGTGGATATGACACATATTGAGGAAAGCATCCAACTGTGTCACATAGCAAGGCCTCACATGGAATTCTGAAGACCAAAGAACAAATTACGCCGATAAATAGAGACAGACATGAGAAGAATGAACAACAGTTGGATGAACAAGAAAGGAAGGCCCAGGACAGAGTGGGTTGGAGAATGCTGATCGGCAGCCTATGCTCCATTGGGAGTAACAGGAGTAAGTAAGTAAGTAAGTACGTGAAGTTATATACTCCGCGTTTATACCAATATATGTTCCCTAGAACTTTAAACCAGAGCCAACAATCATTCAGGTGCTAATCATTTTAGTCAGTCTACTAGCATATTTTTATGTTTGAAACTCAGAGAGATATAAATTTAAATTTTTAATACCTTAATTCCCTTGTGGCTGTAGCGATGCAACAGCAAATACATAATCTTTAAACTAAATAGAATTTTCTGTTGAATCCTATTAAACATTTGGGTAGCATATCTATACAATACTTGTTCAACGATACGATGATGATGATGATGATGATGATGATGATGATGATGATGATGATGATGATGATGATGATGATGATGATGATGATGATGATGATGATGATGATGATGATGATGATGATGATGATTAGATCTATGGTGAAATATTGTTCTAAGTTAAACTGGTAGCATCATCATTCTCCAGTTTTGATGTTAATTCGTATCCTTTCATATACAATTTAACATAATTATTTAACTAGTTGATTGATATAATTCCTGAAAATAATTTCTAAATTGATTAAATGTCTAGTATTGAATTGAATGTTTAAAACACACGTTTATTACATCAGCATGAAATATTAGTCTGTTACACGTTTCTTTAGCTTCTATTTACTGTAATGACCTTTACAAAGCTTACAAATTTTCTATTGCAATAATATTTCCTGTTTGACCCATAAAGGTTTATTTTTTTTAAGGAGAAAGGTTACCTGACTATTGTCTTTATTTGTGTTATTATTATCACTATTCTAGGGGAATAATAGGTGAGGGGACAGGAGGAACCAAACAAAACTAAAGATGAAATAAGCAACAAGGGAGTTAGTAGACATGAATAGAAAAGAACTAGACGAAATAACATTTAGACTAAAAGTTTCAACCAACCAATCAGTTAACACACACTGATACACACATACATAGGTCTATGAGTAAGTAAATGAATTTAACTATATAGTTATAGCCTCCAGGATGATTTGCTTTTTATTCCAAAGGTAGGAAATAATGCTGGTGTGCTACCATGTTATTATTACTATTACTATTAATACCGGTTTAACTTAGTAGCAATAATAGTATATAAGTTGAAGCAATAATGTATTTGTTTTCAGTGTAAAAGGGAGTTAACTAGTGTGAGCAGTTAAAAATCTTAAACGGAAATTACAAACATACCCACAAAATCTAATGTGGGTCTATAGTTGTATGTATGTGTAGGTACATCAGTGATTTACATACATTCTATATACACATACATACTTGATATAATCATTATCGACAATATGTATATATATGTGATTCGGCCCCAATTTTCAAGCCAAACTTATTTCCGATTCAGACTAACGGAACTATTTTTGAAGAAAATATTTCTAAAATGAACACATACACACACTCACACAAACGAGCGTACCAACTTATATGAATTATAAATTAACTGTCATTTATGGAACCCGGAACTAATGCCAAATACAAGACGAAGAATTTAGACAGTGGGCGACGTCTACATAGAACAAAACGCTTAGATTCCATATTCTCGATAAGGTAGTTTTAGTCTTGTTGTATGTGTGTTTTTTTTTTCAAGAAGTTTAGAATTTAGGAAAATCTATTCTATGATTATCTTTAAAATTTATAAATGAACTGAGTGAAATATCATAGAATTCAAGTATTATACATGAATTAGAAATGAAAACCTTTATTCATTATTGAAATAGAACATTATATATTGAAGAAATATTCATTATTTATTTCAATAAAACTTTTGAACATTGAATTTCTATCATATGAAACAATGAAGTAGCTAGTAAATGTAACTTGTATGAACTTCGTGGAATATTACCATTGTGTTAGGGAGATCTAGAAAACTCCTTGAATAAAGAAAGTCAAAAAACTCTCTGGAAGCTCCGAGATACATCTTATCCAATCAACATTCAATAGACGTCTTACAAGAAACATTTAGAAAAACAAGAGTCACATGCTGCGCTCCTGATGTCATGGTCACATATACTGATACCATGTTAAGTAGCGCTCCAGAATTTTCCGGAAACCAAAGGCTATCTAAAATGCTAGAAATACCTTACATTTTCTGTACATCAATGAACCTTTGAAATTCAGTGTTTCTTCTATATTTCGCGACTTTTCTCTTGTGTTCAATTCGTTGTGTAGATAAAGCCTGATTGTTACTAGAATAGGTTGTGAACCGAATCTAGCGTTCAAATAGAGAACTTATCACATTGATGAAAATAAAAATCAGACAGATAAATTAAAATTAGTGAGAAGTATGTTGAAAGGGGATAAGATTGATGTACTATGTGGTGGTCGGTATTCAATATAAATTTTAAACTTCGTATACAGTTCGTCCTGATAATGGTCACTAGATAACGCTCCAATGGTGCATGAATGAGAAGGCCAATATGAAGTGTTGATTACGTTTACTATTGCACTACCCACATATAATCAAAATTACAGGAACGTTAAACAAGAATGAAAGAGTAGTGCTGAAAAGCAAGCGGGTGAGCGTACGAATCGAATGACCGTGTCGAGTCAATGAACAGGATTAAATGTATATATATATGAATTATCGAATCAATTAAGCGACTAATAGTAAGGCTAGCAGAATGAATGTATACATAGTCAGTAAGCAATGTCCAAGCATACATATTCCTACAAATACAACAATAATAAACGTAAAGTGGTATAGATAAGTTGTGATTGTACGAATGATTCTGTTCGTTAAATAATTAACAAAAGAACTTAACCAAATTCAATGTGAACAAAATTAATTGCACCATGAGCTACTATTACTATTTCACGTACGTTTAAATAACATAAATGATTGTATGACTGTGGTGTTTGAATGAACTAATGACACCTTTGTACTTGTTGAATGCTTAATTTCGAATTCTAAATACAATACATTCGTTTGTGGTCATCTAGTACTTCTTGATTCGATTACGTTATTATTAGGGTTCTTAGTTCATACTATAATTCAAATACTCGTTATTACCACAATGACATTGCCAGTGATTTTGAAATGATTATACAAAATCTATTGAACACAACATTTTCTTGAAAGTAATTGTAGTGAATACGAAGCATTTAATATAACTGAAAACAATACTTAAGAGGATAATAATAATAATAATACTAATAATAATAAGAGATATAAAATGTTCTTTTGGAAACTGAGTTTCTATTAGATCTATACTTTTAGTGAATTTGTTCTTGATAAATTTTAATATAAACCAAAAAAGTATATTGTTAGGATGGATTCCAAGAATTATGATGGAACCTCCAGAGAACCTAAAAGGAACTGAAGAGTTTCTATTCAATTAGAAGCAATAGAACTTTCTAGAATATGAACGCTGTATGATACTACCGGACAGTAGAATAACTTGCCTGTTTGTGGATTGACTGAATTGTAATATTGATAAAACAAACGCTAATATCTATGATTTTCTGTGCATTTTGATTCATACCTAACAACCACTTCTTAATTTGTGACTGTAGGGGTTCTATACGTTTAAGTGTCGTAGTTGTATATTGTATTCTGATTTAATCATGTATTAAACTCGTATATCTAATTATATTATTCATTGTGGCATTGTTTATTATAAGCAAAGATGGATAGTGGCTAGCAGTGGAATCCAGGACGCGCGTTCCGTCCTATTTGGGACTCGTCAGATGGATATGCCTGCATCTCAGAGTTGATGTTCACTCTGGGACTCGAACTCAGTACCGTTCGCTTCAAACGCCATCGCGTTATCCACTTAGCTACTGAGTCCTGATAGCCACTCGTTTGTGCAATGGCGTGAAGTTTAATTCACTTGGTATTGTTTTACTTGAATCTTCCCATTGATGTTTTAGGACTGAAATTGACCAGTCTCTTATTGGCATATGTGCATACTGTGGATAACGCGATGGCGTTTGAAGCGAACGGTACTGAGTTCGAGTCCCAGAGTGAACATCAACTCAGATGCAGGCACATCCAGCTGACGAGTCCCAAATAGGACGGAACGCGCGTCCTGGATTCCACTGCTAGCCACTATCCATCTTTGCTTATAATGCTTGTAAATTAAGGCAATATCGAGGCATACACACAGTATGTACATGTGTCAATCAGAGACTGATCAATTTCAGTCCTAAAAACATCAATAGGAAGATTCAAGTAAAACAATACCAAGTGAATTGTTTATTATGTTATAATAAGCGAAATGATATTTAGATATTATAAACAGATTTGTTTGATTGATAAATGATAATGTTATTTTTGTGAATAGTTGATATATAGTGTACTTAACGTCAAACCATTTCTATAAGTTGACATATTAGGACTTGAGCAATAAAATTTGATGAATATATATATATATATATATATATATATATATATATAGGGAAATGAATGGATCATCGAATCAATTAAGCAGTTAATAATAAAGCTAACAGAATGAATCTGATTAATTGAGTTTAGCATTATATGAACTCATTGTTGTACAGTAAAATGATTGTGGTTTTTGCTATTCTAGAACATTAAAGTAACCTACCTACCTGTATTATTTGAGAATCGTTTGCTTCAATAAACTGTTCTATCTCTTGTTATTTTAGCGCTTAATTTGTTTAATTCGTCATAAGAAACAACCTCTTAAATTAGAGGAAGATTTAATGTTTGTTGCACCTTTTTTGCTTCCTATGTTAATATTCAAAAATAACTTGACTGACTTTACGAGGTATATCCTGGAGTTCTAGTGAGAAGTAGTGACCAGTGGAGTTCAACCAGGTCTGTTGTGAGATAGTAACTCACTGAAGACAATGGTGGATGTGTCACTCAATTTCGTGGATAAGTTGAATTTAGACATTAACACCGTTGGATGCCGGCTCAGTGGTCTAGTGATTAAGTGCTCGCGCGCGAAACCAGTAGGTCCTGCGATAGAATCTCGCAGGGGGCGAGGTCGTGGATGCGCACTGCTGAAGAGTCCCACAATAGGACGAAACGGCCGTACAGTGCTTCCAAGTTTCCCATAGTGGTCTAGCTCCAAATGACTCATGATCTTAACCATCGGAATTACTATAATATCCACAAAACTTATCTGATATTAATATGTATTCATTGAGCTTTCACTCTTCATATGTTGGTCTATTTGTATTCACTAAAAATGATTTTAATAGATTCAGTGATTATGATTTCATAGATTTTCAGTATTTTTAAGAGTTAATTTAGATGTGTTAATGATCGAGATTATAACGCTAAAAAAATACGAATTTGCACTAACAACAAACAGAGAGAGAGAGAGATTATAATTTATGGACGAACCAATAAGATATAAGATAACAGGTCTCTGGTTTTAGCGCGAAATTCATCCATACATTTGTCTAAATAACGTTTTGGCATTATAGCTAATCTCAGTTCGTGATGAAAACCTTAAATC